AATTCCAGCCCAGTCTCTCGCCCAAGATTTCTGTATTAATGTTCTGAATTCCCTGGACCATTTGAAAATAAGATAGTTGATATCTGTATCTTGACCCCCTTACCTACTAAACCTGCCCTCTCCCTGCAAAAGACAAAACAAAACTGTTTTCCTAGAAAACAGAACAAGTGCTACAAAAAAGCTTCTGACAAGAATTCACTAAGAGAGAATAAACACTAAATTATTGAGAGGCTTGCGGTTCCAGTAAAGAATATCTTTATAACACCTTCATAAACTGAAAATCACACAACCAATGAAAAGGGAGAGGTGAGCAGAGGAAGGAGACCAGAAGCTGAGCAGGATAGTGGCCACGTCCACCACAAACAGAGTCAAGCCTCACTTCCAAGACTGAGATAGAGGCCACAGTGCAGTCAGTGCAAAAGTCTGTCTCTGTATTTTCTTAACCATCAAGGAATCTTTTTAGGAATTAATGCTCGTAATAAAAAAGCATTTGATAGAAGTTTAGAAATTTCTTTAATTTTGGTTCAGTTCTTTCCCATCTGTGGAATTCACGTAAAATTAAATGTAAATATTTTTATTTTTATAAAAGCATATAGCGTGTAATTCCATCCTCACAAGAGTATCTGCCTCTTGTAAGGGTGAATATACAGCGATGTCTGTAAACATGTTTACCGAGCATTAATATTGGTTGTGTCTTGACAGTGGGAATTTAATTTGCTGTTTTAATATTTGTGTTTTTCTGTCTTGTTTGCATTTTTACCATGAGCATGTACTATATTTACATAAAAAAATAAAGCCATGACTTGAAAAAAGTCAGTGACTAGGGAGTCTGTGGATAGCTTCATGATGAACTCTGAAATTATACACAATATTTTATGTATAACGTATCTGTGTGCATTATTTTCTAGAAAGTGTGTCATATTTTCATCAGATTGTCAGAACTGTTCCTGTCTCCAAAACGTAGTCCTGTGTCTTCCACGTTGCTCACACCTTCATTTTTTAGGCTTCTGGCTAATGATGTAGCTGCTCTTGACTATCAACTAAGTGCCAGACACTGAGCCAGGAATGTTGTAAGTATTACCTTTTCATCTTCACACGCCTGTGTGAGGTAGGCATTATCATTGCTGTGCTATGAAGGAAAAGGGAAGGCAGGAACGCCTAGTCGCTGCCCAAGGTCACAGGGCAGTCAGAGGTATACCCAGCTCTGCTTGGGTCTGAAGTCCACGCTTGTCCTACGATATTCCGCTTTCTCATTAGAGGAGACCCTGGAAGTCATTCATCTGCCATTATCTGAGGACCTGCAGTGTGCTGGCGATGGCCCAGGTTCTAGGAACAAGTCAGTGAACACCAGACAAAAACTCCTGCTCTCCGGGAGCTGATAGCTTAGAAACAGGCTTAACACAGTTTCAAGCTTTGTTTATATTATTTTACTTGATCATTATAACAATCTCGTGAGGCAGGCAGGTATTGCTGCCTCTGCTTTATAGATAAGCCACCTAAAATTGAGAGAAGTTAAAGATCTACCCAAGTTATATAGCTATTGGGTTATGGAGTTGGAATATAAAACTGACAGAACCCTAAGTCTCATTCTTAAGTTTAAAATATGCATATATTTTAAATTAGATTATACCCTAAAGCAAATCATGGTCCTGATAGAACATAACAATGGAAGGCAGGTTTTGGCCTCCACTGCCCCAGTGTCACTTGGTAAAGGCTGTTGGACATCCTGAAAGAGGCTGAGTGTTTCCTCTCCTCGTCCTTATTGTCTCCTTCAGGGCTCCTCTCCCTAGTCCTGCCAGCCCTGTTTGTCACTCATGGCTCCCAACTTGCCCGCGGTCACTCACACACACCATCTGTGTCTGCGCCCTCCCTTGCGCACACAGAGCGGGCATCGCTGACCCCTGGCGCGTCCTGTCTGTGCGGCCACTGGCGTGGTGGACCTGGGTCTGTGCGCAGTGTGAGCGTGGCGGACCTGGGTCTGTGCGCAGTGTGAGCGTGGCGGACCTGGGTCTGTGCGCAGTGTGAGCGTGGCGGACCTGGGTCTGTGCGCAGTGTGAGCGTGGCGGACCTGGGTCTGTGCGCAGTGTGAGCGTGGCGGTGCCTTGAGAAGGAATCGATATCAATGCAAGCTCTCTCCCTCCAGGGGCTGTATTTGCACTTCATGTTGGGATTTGTGAAGCATAAAAAGATGCTAAGACCTAAAAAATGCATCTCAAGTAGTGAGTCTTCAGGTCCTTTAAAAGATTTATCCCACTGGATGGTTTAAATGATCTGGGAGTTGCTGGAAATACATATTCCCAAGCCCCACCCTCAGATGCCGTCGGCTCTGAGGCAACAGGCAGGAATCCAAACACTCAGCAGTTTTCAAAAGTCCACACATATTTTTTTGTTGATTGGTTTTGTTTTTTTTTTTGGATTGTTTTTTAGGATTTTCTTCACTTTTTGTGAATGCACATTTTTTGAAAAGCATTGGTATATTGGGAGACAGTGAATTGAGCACCCACCCTGGCATCCCTGTGCCACGGCCGCACTTGTGACACTCCTGTCAAAGCATTATCACACCTGCTGCAACTGTCTGTGCCCAGCACCAGACGGTGGAACCCATCCCGATGCCTCTCTGTGTGTTTGTCCCTGGCGCACAGGACCTCAGCCAGAGATGCTAGATAATGCCGACCAAATAAATGATGATGGGCCCAACTCCACATCAGTCACACACGTCATCACCAGCAGCAGCGGCAGCCTCCACTGTGTTCTCATAGAAAAGCGGGTCCCAGCTCCCACCCGCTGTGTGGTGCCCGGGATGAGACCTGCTTTTGCAACATGCTAAGAAGGCTACAGCTCACTTGACAGCTAGAGAAAATGCAAAGGCACATTGCAAGACGAGAATTAAACTCTTGATCCATTTCCATGCTCATCTAGTAAATAAAGGCATGAAACTTGCAAGGATAAATTTTAATGTTTTGGTGAAGATCAGAGGGAATATTGCTCAGATTTAGGACTAGAACTATAAATATTTTTTATTCTCTATCAACCCTTTATTGCTCTTATCCATTCTAAGGAATCAAAACATACTTGATCTTATATGACTATCAGTAAAAATATAATAATATATTAGCAAAAACCTAATTTATCATATTGCATATATAATAAATAGAATTAGAATTTCTAATTCTGCATAGCAATGGATCATCTTGCATTCACTCCATTTTGGGAACCCCTGGTTCATATCAGTGCTTTTCATTGAAACAGGAAAGTCTAATATGGGAGCCAAAGTGAAGGAAGTTCAGCATGATATGTAGAAATAAAAATGGAAAGATATAGAAAAAAGAGATGGGGAAGAAAAAGCCAGGAGGGAGGGACAGAGGGAATGAAAGGGAAAGAAGAAAGAAACAGGAAGGAAGAAAGGAAGAGAGGGAGGAAAAGGGAAGCAAGGAAAGGAGAAAGTTCTGAAGCCATGAATAGATGTTTATTTGGAGCTAACTGCATTATATGTACACAAAATCATTTTATATTGTTATTCTAACTCACAAGCAACAAGCGTGGATTTTTGCTTCAAGAAGCATCAAGATCAAATTTGCTATTTCCCACACTTTCCTCATTCCAATTCACAATTTAGTGACATTAGTAGGACTGGCAGTAACAATGCCCCTCTTTGGTGGTCCCTGATGCTTTGTGAGAGCCCAGGATGCACCTATAGCCAGTCTCTCTCTATTCGGGATGGCAGCCTAGCAGCGCTGCTTGTTTTTGCCATTCAGTTTCCAGACGCTTGATTGAGACTCCAGTACAATGCTGCCCTGATACTAGAAGAGATAAGGTACTTGTTATGTTTAAACTGAAACAATCCATTTGTGAACACACCAGAATTAGTCTTAATAGAACCAAATAAGGTCAATACTACTGCAAATCCAGAGAATCTCTACAAGTGCTGAAGCTGTTTAAAATGCATCACTCTTTATTTCATATAGTTAAATCTCCAACTTATAAATTAAGTACTAAAATACAAAGTCACTTTATCTTTTGGGTTTCTTCATCTGTAAAATAAGAGGACTGGGCAAGGTTTATTCCAATTCCAACATCTCATAAGCCTACAAGAATATCTAGAAACACAGGTAGTCACAGATCCTCTGGTATACAGTCAATCATAATGAGTAAGGAATGAGAGCTATGGCTCTCCCCTTTGATTCAGACATCAACTTACAAATGCTGATTTTAACTAGAAGTATTTGATGGAGATCTGGTTTAGTCTGGAATGTGCGCCTAGATACCTTTAGAAATAGGAACACTTCTATTTCTTTCAGGGTGGTGAAGAGTTAATTATAGGCACTGATGAAGGACCTTTTATTTCCATGATTTTATCTCACCCCTTACCAATGTGCAACTTTAATGGAAATGTCAAAAGGGCAGTAAAGTTTCCAAAGCTAAAAAAAAAAAAAAAAAAAAAAAAAAAATTGTAAGAGAGAAATGAGAGTATGTGATCCCTAATTTTGAGGAGAGCAAAAAAAAAAAAAAAAAAAAAAAAACCAGGCAGAATTTCTCAGACTTCCACAAATGCTAATTATTCATAATGACAAGTCATTACCCACATCCATTTCTGGAAAGTCACAAGGACTTGACAGGTCAAAGCAGAAATGTCATCTCAGGCTCCAGCAAGATACTCTGCCAAATTAACCCTCAGCATACTCATACACCATCTTTTTCCAAGCAGGGGAAACACAAATATAAAGGACGTTTCAGCACCTTGGAGAGAGGAAATTGGTTCAAGGTATACAAGGGAAGGTGGAGAAGCTATTGGGCTCCTGGAGCTAAGGCTTATATCAAGGAGCCCTGTAGCACAGCGTAAAGACATGGCATATTTGTGGACTTCTTAGGAACAGGACTCATACAACAGATAGAAATGCAGCTATCTAAAATTCGGAGGTAGGGACATGTGAACATCAGGGCTCTTTGGGACAGAAAGAGGCTAAGACGGCAATAGATCTTGTAAACAAATGCTGGTTCCACACAGATTCCTACAGTAAATTTATTCATTATTTAATTTATGCACTTAAGCATCTATCAGTGGGTTCCAGGGATACAGAGCTGAATGAGATGGGTAACACTTGCCTTCATTGAATGTCAAAGAGGAAAACAGAGCAGTAAATAAATAATTGTGCAAGTAAGAACATATAATTAAATTACACATTTTATTGAATGCACTGAAGAGAATGAACAGGGAAGAATGAACTATTTGAACAGGCCACTTGACCTAGTAGGAGAGAGGATGTGCATATGTGAGTAGGGTCATCCGGCAAACAGGAGACGACATCACCAAGACTGAGGAAGAGCAGCAATCCAAGTGGAGGGCGCCTTTTGTGCAAAGCCTCAGAGATGGGCATGAGGGGAACTGGAAAGTGAGGGCAGCGTGGGTGGAGCACAAAGCGAGTGCAAGGAGTGAGGAGTGCAGAGCCTGGAGAGGCGGGCAGAGCCTCTGATTTACCAAGGCCGCTTAGGAACAGGAGTGAGGGAGTGGGAGAAGGTGGGAAGTAGCATGCTCAAACTCACAGGCGGAAATAGGATAAGCCTGGCACGGAGAAGCAAACCCCTAGAACAAAGGAGGCTGCCTGAGGACTTTAAATACCCAAATACATCATGGAGAGCCTTGTGAGTGGAGTTAGGGATTAACCCAAATTCAATGGGTGGCCACTGAAGAATTTCAGTTTGAGCGTGATATAATCTGATTAGTTTTTAAAGATCATACTGGGTGTAAGGGCAGAAATGAAAGAGCAAAAAATGGAGCATCTTAGAAAGATGATGAATTTTAAAAACAACCCCAGAAGTCTACATGCTGTGAGACACCATCTCCATAAAGCTCAAAACAAGCAAACTAAACAACACATTTTTTGTGGATACATATGGGATGAAAGAATATTTTTTAAAGGGAATGATACTCAGGACAGTGATAACCTCCAGGAAGAGAAAAGAGGGGCAGGGGTGGGGGACACACAGAGACACATACCAGGTCCTTGTCCTTAAGTTGGACACTGGGGTTTTGAATGTTCATTTGATTGTGCTTCGTTATATATTCAGTGGGAGGCCTCTGAAGGGTTTCAGTTGGAGAGTGGTACAATCGAATTATTTTTTAAAATCACACTGGGTATAAATGGTAGAAATGAAAAATTAGACAAGAAATATTTAATGCATTAAATATGATATTTAAGAGGAAAATGGGTCATTTTGGCTACTATGTGGAGAACGGACCTGCGGGAAGCACGCGTGGAACAAGTGAGACTAGTCCGGGCTGTTCCATCCCCCAGGTGGGGGTCGACACACCACCCACTGCATACTCCAGGAGGCCTGCAGGGCCCACAGCCCACCTGCCACACCTGCCCAGCACCTGACACCGCCCCATGTACAGAATAGAGGAACAGTAAAATTTTATTTAATAAAATGATGAATTTTCCAATAGAAGGAGAGACTAGATACAGTGAAACTCTAGACATAGGCTCATAATGGTCACTGAACTATCCACTCCATGGTAATTGCACGTTTACAAATCACTTTCACATTTATTATCTGTTTTTCTCCAACTATAGGAAATGTATTGCATAGGCAGTAAAGTGACTAGTCAAGTTCACACAGCAAGGTGAGGGTTGAGCTAGAACTGGAACTCTCCAAGTTGGCATATTCCTTCTGCTATGTTTTTTTGATACGTCTCAAACACCAAACATAAATAATTATCTTGAATGCTATCCTACCACAGCCCCAAACAACTGTCTTTTAGCTCTTGTCATATTTTAGCAATTATCTTTCAAACTCCATAGCCTTTATAGTTGTCACACATATGCATTTGAATACATATATAAATACATGTATTAATTTATTTTGCACACATATTCTTTACATGATTAACTAGTTCTACTTGCCCATTCTCAGCAATTTTTCATCAGTTCATTGAGAGTAACGCTTAAGCTTTCTCTGTTTTTGCAATCCATAAAGTGCTGGGGAGGTGAGCACACTGAGGCACTGTCACCTGTCACCTCATGAATCAATAAAATTAACCCAGTTGCTCTAGTGACTAGGTGTGTCCCCCTTCGCCTCCCTGCTCTAGGCTGCACGCTCCATTAAAGACAAATATTTTCTCATATATGAGGGTACTGTTAGTCAGACAAAGACAAAGCTATGCAAGACTAGTTTATACTCTTACTAGAGCTCTCTAAATCATAAGCCCTGACACCAGACACTTAGTAGTTTAATAATAAATTTTCCTCTGCATTCTAGGACTGCAATTCCCAATTCACCTGGTGCTGGGACACCTGATTTCTTACTAGAAAGGTCCTAGCTTCCTTCCACAATCTTGTTAATTATAATTCTGGATATAGTCAACTTTCAAGAATATCAGAAATTTCTTGCCAAGCAAGGGAACACCTAGGATTCAAGATCTAGTCCAGGGTCTAGAAGCAGAACTACAGAAATCAGAAGGTAGAATGCTAAGTGGGTAGATGCAAGGATGAAGTAAGGTCAAAAATTCGAGCCATCGGAGTCTCAATGACCAAATCCAGGTAGGAGCCTAAGAGAGAAGCCGCACGAAGTGTGGGAAATACCACATTCCAAAGTTCACATGCTGAAGCAGGCTAAGGAAGAGGCTGACCCTTAAGACATAGGAGTCTTTCTGAATATCTTAAACACTTAGTGGGTTTGTTTTTTCAAGCATAAAAATTGTTAACATCTACTAAGCATTATCTTCCAGGTACCACTATAAACTCTTCACATGCAGGTTCATTTAATCTGCACAGAAAATATGGTTTACCACATTTTTTCCCCATTTTGCAGATGGGAAAACTGAGACTTAAGAAAATGAAATGACTTACCCAAGGTTACACAGCCTTTGGAGAGACGGAGGAGAGACAGAGACAGAGAGAAGCTGAGCTGGATTTGAATGTAGGCATTCTCCCTCATAAGCCAGCATCCTGGCCAATAATCTATACTACTTTTGGGTGATCTGTTGCCTTCAATTCCCTCTAAGATTTCCTGACAACATACATACATATTATAAAATTTGACAACCAGTACATATTCATTTGGCTGTACAATTGAATATTTTTTTATGTTTTTGGAGATGGCTGGAGACAGGTCAGCATTGAGAACTACAGCTTTGGGCTTAAAAAGACTCCAGAGATGGAGACGGCAGGATGCTTCACCCTCGACCTCCACACGATTCAGCGTCTCTTGGAACTCCACGTGGCCCCTCCGGCTGCCGTGGGTGAGTCTTGTGCCCTGGAGTGTTAAGGGAGGAGAATGGGGGAGAATTAAGTGGTACAGGAGGACAAGTCGAAGCATTATAATTCTGATAAAAAAATCAAGACACCATAAAAATTCTATTTCTGAAGATTTATATGTCACTTAATGCCACGAGGACCCGAGGTGGCTAAAAAAATCTACTTGTAAGGCAAATAGGATTATTGGATTGTGAAATTGAGAGCCATAAAATTTGAACCAATTTTATATGAAACTTCAGGATTTTGTATTTCAAAGTGAAAGAGCCAGACAATATCAAGCAAATGTGAATCTCAAATGAGGAAGAGAGAAGCAGAGGTCTCCCTTTGCCGAGTAACTGAAAACTCACCATCGGTGGGAGCCGATTAGGTTAGACACCTGCTCTGAGGCTGATGCCTGGACTTGCCCCTGGTTCTGCCGTGTAAGGCTGGAGACTAAACTAGGCATCGCTCGTCTCCTGGATCTCCTTCAGGGTCTGCAGTAGCCTCCCCTTTTCTTTTTTCCTATGGAAAGTCTGTTATAATTTCTGTGCCTACTTTAGCCTCTTGGGCAACATGGCATCTGAACTTCACACTTCATCATTTTTTCCTTTTGTGTCAATTTTCTTTTTCCTGTTGAAGAATATGCTCTTTTGGTACAAGGACACTCTCTGCTGCTTCTCTTGCTTTCCCTAGTCTCAAGTGAGCAGTAGCTTAGTGCAATCATTACGATTTGAGTTTGAATTCTGAATCTCTGTGATATTGAATAGGTTACTTATCCTTTTCCTCTGCAAAATAGGGATTAAATGGGCATAAATTACTTAACCTAGTACCTAGCACATATTCATTACTCAGTAAGTCTTATTTATCATTATCCTTTATTGACTGGAAGAAGTGGCTTCAGGGTCTGACACGCAGTTGAGGCACTCTTATAGATGACAGCCTCGTTCCCGCCTAAGTTCTTAGACACCATTCCTCCTCCTTCAAGATTAGAAGCTGAACCCTCCATGCTCTACCCCCTCCCACCCCCATGCCTGGTGCCCGTCACTACAGCTCCACCCCATCTGGTTTGAGTGTCTATTACCGTCTCATTGCGATGCCACGTAGATGAGGCTTTCAGACGTGGGGCTGCAGAAGCAGCTGGCTGTAGGCCAGAGTAGAGTACTGCCCCATTAACATTCGATCCATAATAGAGACCATTATCTTGGCAGCAAGATACCCGTGCAGTAGTCATGTGAAGAAATGGGGGTGGGTTACCAAAGCAACAGAGAAACTTGAGCTGCACTGTTTCCATGGCAACAGAGAGCAGACACCAGCATTCTCCTGGTTGCAATGATGATTACTTAGACTCTGCCAACAGTATCGGAGACTCATCAGGTGGGTTGCATTGCAAAGGGTGAATTAGTAAGGGGTAGCTCTTAGAATTTGGACAAGAATGAAGCCCACAGTGGAGATCCTAACTCTTCAAGCTAGAGCTCACACTCCTCTATTATGAATCAGAGTTCTCTCTTTGGCTACTGACCAATTAATTACCTCTCCAATATCATCAGTTCTTATTTATAACCTGCAATCTCCATAAGTGTCCTGCTTGAACAAAATCCACTTACGAAAATCTAACTTATAAGGTACATAAATTAAGTAGCAGAGAATTTCCCAAGCAATTTTTTCCCTTTTCCTCAATTTTATCAAAGAAATGCACTCACATCATTAAAAAGTCAATTAGTGCTTAAAAGCTTACAGTAAGAAACATCAGTCCCAACACTACAGTGCCCTTCCCTCTTCCTGGTCCCTAAAGGCAACCACTTTTAGTAACTTCACCTGTCTATCCTCTATTTACCTCCATATTTTCAAATATTTCCATATTGAACACAATTTCCTAGTAAAGTACGTAGACAAAGCTCTTCATACCCCATCTCTTTTAAACTCAACCTCCTAGTATGATTACAGTCATGTGTCACTTAACAATGGTGATGCATTCTGAGAAATGTTAGGTGATTTTGTTGTGCAAATGTCAAAGAACGCACTCACACACGCCGGATGGCACAGACCTGCTGCACACCTGGGCTGGACGGTGCAGCCCATCGGCCCTGGGTACACACCTGTGCAGCGTGTTCCTGTACCGAACGCTGTAGGCAACTGCAACACAGCAGTGCTTGTGTAGCTAACCGTAGAAAAGCCACAGTAAAAATAGGACATGAAAGATAAGAAATGGTGCATGTGTACAGAGCATTGCCATGACTGGAGCTTGCAGGCCGGGAAGCTGCTCTGAGTGAGTCAGTGAGGGGTGAGTGAGTGTGAAGGCCGAGGGCGTCACTGTGCTCGGCTGTACACACTGTATGCTTAGCCTACACTAAATTTATTAAAAAATTTCTTTCTTCAATAATAAATTAACTTTAGCTTAGTTACAACTTTTTAAAAGTTTTTAAATTTTTTAAAACTTTTTGACTCTTGCAATAACACTTAGCTTAAAACACAGACATATTATACAGCTGTATAAACCTAGTTTTTATTAATACCCTTATTCTGTAAGTTTCTATGTAAAAAATTTTTAACTTTTGTTAAAACCTAAGACACAAACAAACCCATTAGCCTAGGCCATCACAGGGCCAGTGTCACCCGCATGTCACTAGGCTGTGGGGAGTTTTCAGCTCCATGACACTGTCCGGGACCACGGCCATATGTGGTCTGTCATTGACCACAACATCATTATGCAGTACATGACTGCCTATCACAGGTTTCGAATAAATCCCTATTTATGGGTTATAAAGTCTTCAACATTAAGGACACACAGATATTGGCTGGGCCAGTCAGGGAAACTCAATGACATGACTTAACCTGGGCAGGGTGCCGGAGGCCTCCTCACGTAGGATGCAGACTCCCGTCCTGTCCCCTGCTCTGGTCTGGTGCTCGCTGCCTCCTCTGGGCCGGAGTTGCCATGTGTGGAGGCTCTCTGTTCAGCTTCTCTGGAGAATTGCCTCCCACTTCTTGACAGTAGGATGAGACCAGGGACTCTGCCTCTCCCTTACACCAACTCCCTTGTTTGCTGCCTGCTGCCTCCTGCTCAGCTTCAGCAGTAGCTGGTGCCTTGGTTTCCCGAGCCGTTCTTCAGGCACTTGGGCTTGACATTCCTCCCACTGCCTTGTGCCTGCACAGCCGTGTTCCGAGTTACAAGTGCCTTCTGATGGCCAAAATGGAGCTCTGGTTCTTAGTCCCTTGTTGTTTGGACATTATTTCAATAGAAGGAGGCTGAAACATCTTTTGCCTTCATAAATCTCAAGTTTTCTTGAAGAGCTTGTCTGCCTAGAAGGTAGCCTCCTCTGGAGTGATTTTGCGATGGGGCTAAATTACATAAAATATCTTTATAACTTTTTAATTATAGCACCATTATTTTAAATGTCTGACTATCTAAATCTATTCAGAGAATGATTTTGTTTAAAAAATAATTGACAAAATTTAGGTTTTTAAAAACCAGATTTTGTTCTAGTACATTATAATCAAAGATAAATTATTTTTGCCTTTTGACTGAGCAAGCTTACTTTTGAGACTCTATCCTAAGGACTAATATCCAGAATCTACAAAGAACTCAAACAAAACATCAAGAAAAAAACCCAAACAGCCCTATTAAAAAGTGGGCAAAAGGCATGAACATTTTTGAAAAGAAGAGATACAAAAGGCCAACAAACATATGAAAAAATGCTCAACATCACTAATTATCAGAGAAATGCAAATTAAAACCACAATGAGATATTACCTTACCCCAGTCAGAATGGTCATTATTAAAAAGTCAAAAACCAATAGATGTTGGCATGGATGCAGTGAAAAAGGAACAGTAGCACATTGTTGGTGGGAATATAAATTATTACACCCTCTATGGAAAACAGTACAGAAAATTCTCAAAGAATTAAAAGTAGAACTACCATTTGATCCAGCAATCCCACTAGTGGATATCTATCCAAAGGAAAAGAAATCATTATATCAAAGAGATACCTACACTTGTATGTTTTTTACAGCATAATTCACAATTGCAAAGATATGGAAACAACCTAAGTGCCCATCCACCAAGGAATGGTTAAAAAAAATGTGGCATATATATACTGTGGAATACCACTCAGTCATAAAAAGAGTGAAATAATGTCTTTTGAAGCAACTTGGATGGAACTGGAGGCCATTATCCTAAGTGAAATAATGCAGGAATGGAAAAGCAAACACCAAATGTTCTCACTTATAAGTGGGAGCTAAGCTACATATGCAAGGGCATACAGAGGGGTGCAATGGACACTGGAGACTCAGAAGTGGGGAGGATGGGAGAGGGTAAGGGAAGAAAAATTATCTGGTACGATGTACACTATTGGTGATGGGTACACTAAAAACCCAGACACCACCACTATATAATCCATCTATGTAATAAAAAATCACTTGTACCCCTAAATCTATCAAAATAAAAAATTGTAAATTGTCAACATTTCAAAAAAGGGACCCTATCCTAAGAAAAATAATTCAAGACAATCACTAAATGAAATTGATCATTACTATATTAAGTATATTTGTGAAAGATGGAAATGGTCTAAATGTCTAATGAGAAGAAAACTGATATGTGAATACAATAGAATAGTCTATTCAACATGGAAAATGTGCCATCGTGCTAGGTGAAAGAAGCTGAATACTCAGTTGACTTTCTGCTCTTGTTACAAGTGAATAAAAATCCATTGTTGCAAATTCCCCATCTGTAAAAAGGGATAGTAAAGTAACTACTTCATAGAGTTGTCATGAAGATTACAGGAAAAGAATGACCCAAAGTTTTAGCTTGTGCCTGACGTGTGTAAGGGTGCAATAAATGTTAGCTGTTACTGCCACTGCTGTTGTTACACCCTACAATGGTATGTGTGTAAAGGCTGTGGGATTCTGTGTGCTCCAGTCCTATTTTTCTTTTTCTAGTTTGCTCGTTCTACAAATAAAAATCAAGGCACACAAAAAATTACCTCCATAACAATAAAGAAATATTTATATTGTGATGGAATGTTTGCAAGCATTGAAGTCCTCGGGCTCAGTTGTTGGTTTAGAGCCGTGGTTCAAGTGTGGGATCCCAGGACCAGCAGAAACAGCATCACCTGCAAAATTGTGAGAAATGCAAATTCTCAGGTCCTACCAAGACCTTCTGGATCAGGAACTCTAGCAATTGGTGTTTCAACAAGCCCTCCAGGGTATTCTGATGCATGCTAAATGGTTCTCAACTTGGCTGCACGTGGAATCATTTTAGGAGCTTAAAAAAAAATGATGCCTGTCCTCACACAGATCAATTAACTCAGACTGGCCAGGAATGGTGCTCAGGCACTGACTGGTCATTATGAAAAGCTACACGCAGTTCCAATGTGCAGCTGAGACTAAGAACCACTGTCACAGAGAGGTCACCACACGGAGAGGCCAAGTTAGGTGGGCGGGGCAGATAGCCTTAGAGGCAAACTTTTACCTTATTTCACTAATTCTTGGTTTCCACGGGATTCCCTTGTTCCTACTCTTAATAATTCTAAGTCCAGGAGAGAAGAGGGGTGATTAATAAGGCTCTCACAAGCCTCCCAGACACATGCTAATAGATCTGGGAGATGAGGCAGAAATAGAAATGAGGGAGGTCTGATGTGCTAATACAAGCCAGTAGGATGTGATTCTCTCTACATCTGAGAAAAACACCTCTTTTCAAGTGAGGTTCATTGGTCCCAAGGAAAACCTGGTATTTTCTTAGCAGCCAGACCAGACACAGTTCCAAACTCACTTAGTTTTCCACTCATGCCTCCCTTCCCTTGGAGGCTCGAGCCGTGTCCTGTCAAAGAGCTCAAGGAGCACCTGGAGCAGGCCTCACGGACCTGTGTGGGCTGCGTAATTATTCCATCACATTTCACACTGGAACAATCACAGAAATAGAGTGCAAATAATGTAATGGGCGTGAATCATCCTGAAACCTCCCCCCACCCCGTCCCCGGGCCGTGGAAAAACTGTCTTCCTTGAAAATGGTCCCTGGTGCTGAAAAGGTTGGGGACAGCTGCCGGACAGGAGTAAGTTTCAGTTCTGGGAAAATCTTTTGGATGTCATCTTGCCGACTTGCTGACCAACTTCTGTCAAGAAATAACAAAGAAATAAACACCTCTGGCTGTATTTTATTTTCCTTTCACTCCAATTTTCTTGCTTGTTTGCTTTTATCCTGTTGAGTTTTACATATTTTTATAATCCTCCTCAAATCCTGTTTTAAAATAATAAGAAGCTATAAAGGCCAATCAGTCATATTCTACATTTGCTTTTTTATTGAATCCTTCATTTAGTCAATCAGTGAGCATTTATTCAGTTCATTTTAAGACATTTCTATGGAGGACCTGTAGGTGCATCTGTGAAAGCTACAAAAAAACTCAGGCTCTAATGCCTTTCCTTTCTTTAAGAAATTTATTTACCATTGTTAGCAGATAAAAGAGAAACACCTGAAACAAATAAAGAACAGTCTGTGATAAACTACCGAGCTAAATGCAAGCAGCTGGGAGAGGGCAGCGCAGGCTGGAGTTCTGGCCGGGCAGCGGCCGCGCCCCCTGGCTGCTCCCGAGCAGCGCGGCAGGCCCAGCGAGCACAGCCGGCAGCGCCCGGGCCTCGGCTCTGCCTGGGCAACTCACCTAACCTCCACGCGCTTCAAGAGCACAATCCTACCTCAGTGGGTTGTCGTGTGAAGCACGTAGCACAGTGTTCATTTATCTTAATTACTTAACATACTTCATGCCTGGCACATAGCAGCTTTTTACCATTGTTAGATGGCACTTTAATTCCATTTTAAAGGTGAGAAAACTGAGGTTGAGAGAAATCATTATGCTATCACGCAACAGTGACTCACAAAAACCTGAGTGTTTTTTTCTCTTTGCCTGTGCAATCAAGTGCTGAAATTTTAACAGAGACCCCGGTCATTCATTGCTTTGTCTGCATTATACAAATACTCAACACACCCAAGACTGAACTCCATAAGGTCAGTTTTATTTACCTCTTGATTTTTATTTTTTTTTATTTTTTACTTTTTTGAGACAGAGTCTCGCTTTGTTGCCCAGGCTAGAGTGAGTGCTATGGCGTCAGCCTAGCTCACAGCAACCTCAAACTCCTGGGCTCAAGCGATCCTCCTGCCTCAGCCTCCCAAGTAGCTGAGACTACAGGCATGCGCCACCATGCCCAGCTACATATATATATATATATATTAATTGGCCAATTAATTTGTTTCTATTTATAGTAAAGACAGAGTCATTCTCTTGCTCAGGCTAGTTTCGAACTCCTGACCTGGAGCAATCTACCTGCCTCGGCCTGCCAGAGTGCTAGGATTACAGGTGTGAGCCATCGCGCTGGCCTACCTCTTGATTTTGAACAAAGGAATATGTTGTAATAAGTAAGTTCCTCCTTGGCTAACAAACCACCTCAGGGCTCACACTTGGCATGAAACCTAATCCCAACCTAAGCCTCTGCCTCCAGCCACAAGTCCTATCTTACCTCCCCTTTGCCTGTTCTGCTAGTGGGACTGCAAACTAGAGCAACCTCTGTGGAAAGCAATATGGAGATGCCTCAAAGAGATACAAGTAGATCTATCATTTGATCCAGCAGTCCCACTACTGGGCATCAACCCAAAGAAACAAAAGACATTCTATAAAAAAGACATCTGCACTCAAATGTTTGAGTAGAGATCTGGACAACAGTTAACTTTATCTGAAACAAGGCAGACGTGGAGCAGACAGAGCCAATAGCACGTGCAGAAGCCTTCGCATGAGGGCCACAGGAACAGGCAAAGGGGAGGTCAGATAGGCCGTGTGGCTGGAGGCAGGAGGGTGGGCCTTGGCAAGGAATTGGGTCCTTATCTTAAAATCAGTCAGAAAACCCTGAAGGCTTTTAGGCAGAGGATAACATACTAAGGCTTACGCTATAGAAAGCTTACATCATGGGAAGCAGGCTGGGGCCATGGGCAAAGTGAGCCGGCAGTCTCAGCCAGGAGGGCGCGTGGGCCAAGTGCTGGTGGTAGAGCTCAAGCAACTGGACCAGCATGAGCTGTTCAAGAGATGAAACAGCAGCGACCAGTGACGGAGTGGACAGGAGAGGTGAGAGAATACACGCCAAGGAAGACACTGTCTTGTATGAAGCTTGGGCTCCCTTCCCTTGGAGGCTCGAGCCGTGTCCTGTCAAAGAGCTCTGACTGCGGCCAGCAGTCGCGGAGACGGGGGTCCCGGAAGGGGCAGCTGCTGAGGGGAAGTCTCGGACTTTAACAGGCTGAGTTTGAGGAGACTGGGGCATGTCCTAGGGAGATTCAGGAAGGCGATTGGGCACATGGGCTTGAGATTTGGAGGACATGTCTGGGCTTTTCCAACTTGAGGCTGGTGAATCATCTGCCCATAGGAGGTAACTGAAGTCATGGACACAGACGAATTTTGTAAGAGAGTGAAGAGTGAGACTGGAATAGAAACTAGGACCAAGTCTTGAGCTTCCTCAATATTTAATGGCCAAGCAAAACCTATAAAAGGACAGACATAATGGTCAGTGGTAGGAGGAAAATCAGGGCAAAGAAGAGAGCATTTTAAGGATGATTTTGCAACAGGGAGGTCACTGGGGCCCTAACCAGAGTGTTACAGTGGAGTGATGCTAAAAGCAATCAAAATGGAATTTGTTGCCAGCAGTGAGTTTCATGGACATGAACACCAGAAACCTGCGTTGCAGCCCCCACCAAACACTACTAACCTTGGTCTTGGTATTTGAGTTCAAGCCAAGCTCTTTAAAAAAAAAAAAAAACTAGTAATTCTCCAATCTATTCTAGTATTCTAACCAAGCATAAGAGAAAAAGATAGAAGAATTTGAATTTGTTGATAATCTTTGATCTATGGGTCAAGACAAGAAAGGGAGCTATTATTCGCAGCTGAAATCAAATCTCAACCAAAGGCGGTGGATGCTCAGGTGGATGCAATGCACACCTAATGAAGAGTCCATCTGTCACAGATGGACTGTGGTAAAGCTCTGAGAGCAGCGCAGCAGCTATGACAAGACCACTTTGTCCTTACAAGCATGTTATAAAGACTTGGGAAAAGCTTCATTTTGCACCTGACATTAAAGCACCATTAAAGGATTCTGAATACGCTCTCAAAGCCAGGCAATTCTGAGGATGGCAGGAGTCATGAACTCATACCATTACTCTTAGAGGGACAGAAAACATTAAAAAAAAAAAAAAGAAAGAAAAGAAAAAGAACAAAGGTCTGTTTCAAGAACAGAAAAGCCCAGGAATGAAAGAGGAAGAATATAACTGTATGTGGAATCTCAGCTTAAAATAGCACCTACTGTGCCTGGCATCCTGTGAACTAGCAAAAGCTATGAGAGCATCTGCACTCAAATATATTATCATGTGGGTGTGAGGCTTAAGCCCTTCTTTGCAAAACTCTGGGTGCAGGTGATTGCCCCCATGTGGGGGTGGGTAGGAGACCCTCTGTCAGCTGTATTATCTTCCTAGTGTGTTCTGAGGCTCTGCAGTTCACACTCACTTCACACAATGATTGGGCATAACAGTGCCTCTTGCCTTTGGATGGCTAGTAAGTGCATTACTCACCACAGAGCAAGAAGAACAGAGTTCCACGGGATTGTGGGGAGGGCCGGGAGGGCAGGTGAGCGGCTGCTCCACGGTGAAGAGCAATGCAACGGCTGCTGTGGGCCGAAGAGCATTCGGAGCACTTTCTGCAGTCTGTCTCGAATCCTCACAAGAACACAGACAATTAGGCAATATATACCTTCATTTTACAGATAAGGAAACTGAGTCCAGGAAAGATTATAATTGTTCACAGGTCACCCAACCAGGAAGTGAGCTGGCCAGGTGTGTCTGGTCCCAAAGCCTGTTCTCCTTGCAGTGTACCCCAGATTTAGTGTCTGTTCACCCAGCATCCATTGTCCCTTTGAGGATATTAAAGCAAGCTGGAATAGAAATCTAGGCACCTGCCCTCCCACTGTGGAAGTTCCTTCTGTTGGATCTTTCCTTGGCTCCCCACAGACAGGCGTTTGGCTTCTGACCTAAGCTCTGCCAAGCTGGGTGTCTCGCCTGGGATGTCGACCCCTGAGCAGCGGAACAACA